CCAAATTGAGAAACTGAAGGTAAGCTGTTTATCAGGTTTTTCCATGGTGTTTGAAGATTACAGAAAGTAATAACCATGTGATCATTTGATGATATGGCCAATCAAAGTGGCCAAAGCTGGGTCTGTGGAAGGAAGGGTTATTACTGAAATAGACATGAAGGGGAATTATCTGGCATATGGTGCATAGTTTCCATGAAAATTTCATGGTTTGGTTATTTATGATTATTGAAGTCTAGGGTCAGTGCATGTATTCTGGAAAAGAAGACGATTTTTTATAATAAATTGTATTCTTTCGTTCGTTGAACCTGTGCTGTTTACAGGAAATATCTCATGTGGTTAAATGTGCTTGTGGAGAGGAATACAAAGTGGTAGTGGACTTTTGTGTATAAAAACTTGAAACTAGGGCATGAATTTGGGCAAGATAGAAGGCTGAGAAATGGAATCATCATGGCTGGACTACTTGGTTTGCTGTTCAGGTAAGTGTCCAAACAAAAGTCAAAAACAATTTCTGATGCCTTTGTTGCAACAAGGACGTAATGATATTACTTTAGTTGTTGGTACAGTGCAAGTTGAAAGTAGTTTGTCTTTAGTGAATAGACGTTATTTCCGTTGCAAACACTATATTGTACATGAAAATATGTTTGTATCTTAAGTGAGTGGTGAATTTCATTAGTTGTGCTAAATCTATCATTCAAATTTTTGATAAATTGGTTCTCTTAGAGAAAATGATGAAACATGGCTTTTGATAGAAATATATCTGCCATTATTCACCACATGTATATAGGTGAGTTTTGTGTTTCATAATTATTAAAATGAAATACGATTGGCCTAACAAATGCTTAAACAAAGCACTTTAGGGTGTGTTTGAATGTCTAGTAGACAGTATTTCATAGATGGGAGCCCTTTTTGTAGTAGTTAGTAATGAAATTTAAAGATGCACAGAAAAATGGAAATTTCAGTTATTTTATATGTATATACTTGCAGAAACCGAAATTACTTACAAGAAGTTGAGATGTATATTCTCTTATGTGTGGTACTCAGACTTGTGCTTGAGTTGTCGAAATATATTCCCTATATGGAGAAGTAAAGGAGAAATAATGGAAAAACTAAAATCACTTGATCCCCATTGCTTCAATTGCTGCTGAGATATCATGGGCTTGATAGCTCTCCACAAGGACGATGTTAGGGCTATCTTGTGGGACTACATCTTCTCTTTTGAAACTATCTTCACCATGAAAAAGCTTCTCACTGCCATACTCAACCGAGCTTCTTAGAACTAGGGTCTTATGGAGGCCAGCCAGCAGGTCTTCATAATCTGTATCTCCTTTTTCCCCAACAAACATAACCACTTTGGATAGATCAATTCCCCACCGGACAGAAAGATATCTACATAGCACAACAGAACAGTAATTTAATCATAACTAAGCATTTTGTTGATGTCTTGCATAATATAGTAAGTAGATGAAACCCAACCTTAGTGCTTGTATTCTTGATGCAACTAGTGGTACAACATTTAATCTTGATGCTATACGAGTGTAGACAAGGTTGCACCGGAAGCCCCTCATCCGCAGCCTTTGGCGCAGGTCATCGACCCTTCGAGTCTGAAATTGATACACCAGATCATTATAAAAAAAATTATGAAACTACAAATGTATGTCTTAAGGCACCACTTTCCGTTGAGGTTAGTAATTTTTCTACAGCATAGTAAGTTTCTCACCTTGGCTCCTGGTTTCACATTATAAGAGTAGCACCTAGAGCTACTTGATCCTGCATACTCCATGATGTCATCCTCAGCCCCAACTTCTAACGTGGCTAGCCTTGGCACCATGGACCTCACATTCTCTCCAGGCCATCTATACTCAATATGGATTTCATAATCTGCATCAGCTGCCAAATCCCTCCATGGGTAATACATTTCACTCCCACTTTTGCAGACCAACGCATCAAAATCTTCTACGTTTACTTGGCAGCCTTTAAATGATTTGATGGTCTCTTGTAAACTTGAACCAGTTAACAACACAAAACCTACTCGACCCTCGCCATTGCCTACGCTTGCTGCTTTCTTTACACTCATCAGAGTTTCCCGAAATATCTGGGCATCATCTCCATTCTGGTCATAACAGTCAATGGCTATTACAAATAGCCTCTGCCTTCTACCAGGACCATAATTAACACCAGTATTGCTGTTGGATGAAGCCATTCTAGTTATGGCTTCAATGAGTTCCCTCTGTCTCGTTGCCGCATCAAGCTCTCCATTATGCTTGAAGTCTCCCTCTACAGAGAATCTCAAAGAAAGGTCTTCCACATCCTTTAGAGAGTCACTCAATGGTTCTTCAGGAATTGGCATGATCTGAAAGCGGGTGGTGGGGTGGCGGTGTCGGGAATGTTCAACATGGGAGAGGTAGTTTCGGCAGTGTTCTGTCCACGAAAAGCGGTGGATGTTCTTTAGGCCATTCTTTCTGCATTCGAGCCAGAGGTTTTTGTCTCCAACAAGCTTTAGAAGTGCATCTTCTATGGCTTTCTGGTCATGTGGGTCAACTAGGAGGCCGTTGTTTAGTGCCTGATAGTACAGAGTCAGCTACCCATTAGTTCTTTAGACATAAAGTGATACTAATTGTACCACATTGTCATAGAGATTGGACTCATCACATCTCTAATAGAAGTGAGACCCACACATACAATTGCGCTCCACCTCTATTATGGAAATAATGTGGTAGAAATAGTATTCTTAGACATACATCCACACCTGCACATTTTAGTCACATGGAATCTTGAAGGTTTTTCTTAAACTTCCAAATACATTATTAGTAGGTTATATTATAGCAGACTCCTAGAGGTTTTGGATATAGTACATGCACTAGTTACCTTTAGAATATCCACAGGTCCTCCATTTTTCGTGGCGACCACTGGTAAACCATAAGCAGCTGCCTGAAAACATAATCACACGAATATAAACATGTAAATCGTTTTGAGAGAAAAACGTGGGGGAGGGGGGTGTTTGGGTTAGTAATTACAGTTTCATAAGATTATCCCTACTAGAGCCTAGAGGCTAGAGGTGAAGCATAAAAGCAGCATAGGCTAACCTCTATAATTGTGAGACCGAAGGGTTCCACGAGAGCTGGGTTGATGAAAACACCCTTCAATAGAATTCCCCATATATTGTTACTGTTAGTAATTTAGGTGTTGAAAAGAAAAGACTAGCAGGTAACTTGTGCATATTAGAAAAACAAATAATCCAGGGTCCATCTATTAAGAAGTAGTTGAGGCCCTGTATCACACAGTATGTACCTTTGTTTTGGCAGCTAGACGATATATGTCAGGCACATCTGATTGCTTGTGATGCTTAGGATAGGCCACGTGCCCATACAAATCATACTTGTCAATGAGCTTGAGCACGGTTGTGAGAACAACTGAGCTGCTATTTGACATTTCTTCAATGTCATCTCTGTTACCAAGTATTAGTGTCTGCATAAACAATAGGTGTTACCAAGTATTAGTTTCTGCTTTAAACAATAGGTGATGCTCCGTACTTGGTACTCAGCAATATTATTTACTGTATTGAAGCAGATTTGAATTATGGGAAATTAAAGTGTGAACTTTACCAAGTTGGCTAGCTCCCGTAGAGCTTGGCATTCCCCAAATGCCTTGAGCAATGTAGTGACATTTTTCTTGGGGTCAGGACGAGACAATGCAAGTATGGTGGGCTTGTGGGGGTTGGTGAAAAATCGCATGACCTGCATTGCAACAAACAAAATAAATGGCAGACATTTCTAATTAGGTTCTCTGATTCCCCACGTGTGAAGTGAAACTCAATCCTTTTTGTTATCAATGGGTAAGAACGTGCATATTATAAGTCTAAGCCTATTTTGTTTATAGGAAAAGCCATGTAGGAGATTTTAGACTGTTTTGTTTGTTTTCTTTTGTATAACTAAATGAATGGGGTGGGAACATGTGAAAGGAAAAAAATAGGTGGAAGAATATGCAACCTCTGACCATATTGGAGGCAGATGCCTTTTGTTTTGACCTCTGTCAGAGCCAATCAATGATTTCAGATCTCCATCTCCTTCCGTATCTTGGGCTATAACATAGCTGAAGTCCATGCCTGGCGGTATAACCTAACGCCACCATCACGTAGTGATTAGTATGTACAAGAATTTGGAAAGAAAAGAAAGAAGTTTGAGACATGGCAGAGTTTAGTCATCTATCTTTCAATTGAAAAAGCCAAGCCACAATCAGTGATAATGAGGAGAGCGACTGTGCAGTATGCATACCACCATTCTTGGCATGTATCGTCCAAGGCAGCTAACTCCACGACGCCTCCTAACCCTGAGCTTCCTCTCCAACTTGAGATCGAAGCCGTCATAGAGTCCCCATTGCTCCTCAATCTCTTGCCTTGTGCTGGTGACCATCATTTCAGCAGAATCCAATCCCAGCTCCTCAGCCTCGATCCTCTTCATGATTTTGTAGGTTGCATTGATGTCTCCCTTTGATAACCTCCCTTGTTTGAGCAATTGTTCAAACTTGTTTCGGCCTAATGAATGCCCAGTTAGCACCATTGGCACGTTCAAGGCCCCAGACAAGTGAGCAGCCACCTCCCCACCATCAGCATAGTGGCCATGGATCACATAAGGCCATGTCGGTCTCCCTCCGTTGACTTCTTCACCAAGAGCTCTTGCCATGTTCACAATGTGGCCGAGAGCCCCATCAACGAATTCAGGTATGTGAGGCCAAAGTGACTCTTTAGGTATGTACCTGCAGGCAGCATGCCTCAATCAAATTCAAGTATGCATTCTTCATGTTCACCATAATCAGTAGACACTAGGGTCATAGCATTAGGGTTGAAGACAAGAGAAGAGTGAGTTATTACTTGTCACGGGGCCCACAGGGGATTCGGACAATATAGGCTCCACAGCTGCCGCTGCCATCAGGTGGACAAATGAGCATCTCATTGGGTTCACCGTAGCTAGAGTCTACCTCCGGTGAAGTAATTTGTCTAGTTAGCAGATCAACTCGGTAGACTCCTTTTGTATTGGCCAGAGCACGAGCAAGTTCCACCACATATTTCACCTAAATTAATAGCTACCATATGTAAGTCCGTAATCCAACATACTTTTTTTGATGATCTTAATTATCATTTAGTCTAATTCTTAATCAGTATATTATTGTTATTATCACCTGACCACCTGTATCAGAATCTCTTCCGAGTTCCATGTTTTCTCCACGAATCAACCCATGAATGCTACAACAAGGTAAGAAAAAGAAACATAAAACAGTAAGAAAATTATGCAATGCTTTTACTTAAACTTGCTGTATTTAATGAATGAAATACCTGATTAGGACAATGTAAAGATGCCTAGACTTATCAATATCATCGGACCATATGCGAATGTCGGATTTTGTTCTTAAAATATCCTTGACAAGTGGTTCCCCTTTTTCCTTTTCCCCTTCTTTTTCCTTCTCCCCTTCGGACAGCTCTGAAAGGTCATCATCTGCATCGTGACGCCCTTGTTCTCGCTCCAGACGTCGTTTTGCAAGTCTTCGTGCATCATCCCATGCTATCTGCAGCAGTCCAAATTAAACAACTTTCATTTCTGTGTCTCCAATTAATTTCAACTTACATTTCCTAATTAATTTTATGCACATTATATATAGTTTAAATGGAATGAGATTCCTTTTCTTTCTTTTTACTTTCATGTTGAGTGGAAATTGTTTCATATATCCCTATGAATATTACATATGCACTTTGTCTATGTCTTTGTGAGAGATGAGATTTCTCATCACCTGTTTCTTTTTACGAGCGAGATGCCAAATGCGCCAGCACATATTCTCAAGCCTATTGCTGCGTTCACGGGTATTCCTTGTAGCTATTACCTGCACCAACACCACCACCACCACATATATCAATTCATATTTTTTTAAAGCATTTGTTATCATGAGGTCTACTAGGAGAAAATCAGTATTGTGTTTATGTTGTGAATCAGATTCTGTTTCATTGAGTTCCACAAGTGCTTCCCTTGTATTATCTCATTCCAATTAACTAATTAAATATATATATAACATCCATCAAGTGCTTTATGGAAATGCATTATCATTGTTTTTCAAAACAGATTTGTTTTCGAAAATTTTGGTTAGATTAATTCAATGTCTTGCTAGCTGGCTAAGGCTTAACTATTGACTTAATGTGAACTAATTAAAACTAGAGAGAGAGAGAGAGAGAGAGAGAGAGAGAGAGAGAGAGAGAGAGAGAGAGAGAGAGAGAGAGAGAGAGAGAGAGAGAGAGAGAGAGAGAGAGAGAGAGAGAGAGAGAGAGAGAGAGAGAGAGAGAGAGAGAGAGAGAGAGAGAGAGAGAGAGAGAGAGAGAGAGAGAGAGAGAGAGAGAGAGAGAGAGAGAGAGAGAGAGAGAGAGAGAGAGAGAGAGAGAGAGAGAGAGAGAGAGAGAGAGAGAGAGAGAGAGAGAGAGAGAGAGAGAGAGAGAGAGAGAGAGAGAGAGAGAGAGAGAGAGAGAGAGAGAGAGAGAGAGAGAGAGAGAGAGAGAGAGAGAGAGAGAGAGAGAGAGAGAGAGAGAGAGAGAGAGAGAGAGAGAGAGAGAGAGAGAGAGAGAGAGAGAGAGAGAGAGAGAGAGAGAGAGAGAGAGAGAGAGAGAGAGAGAGAGAGAGAGAGAGAGAGAGAGAGAGAGAGAGAGAGAGAGAGAGAGAGAGAGAGAGAGAGAGAGAGAGAGAGAGAGAGAGAGAGAGAGAGAGAGAGAGAGAGAGAGAGAGAGAGAGAGAGAGAGAGACCTTAACCCATGTCCTGTGGAGGTCAGACTCATCAAAGCTATTGACAACTTCTTCCACAAAGTACCTAGTGGGGCTAAACATCTTTTCCTCCTTTACTTGCTCTTCAAACTTTGCAATTTTCGCCTTCCCATCATTCATCTTCCTTGTGTTACTTCCTGCATCCAAAATTGCTTCCAAATAACTGTTTAACCAGTCGTTTCCCGCCATCTCTGTATCTCTCTCTCTCTCTCTCTCTCTACTCTGTTTTCCTGCCCTGTTTCACCCTCCTTGTTGTTTCAAAGACAGGCAAGGCTGAACACTATTGCTTCAAGCTTTGGGTATGTGAAACAAGAGATGTTTCAATGGCTTATATATACAAATATCAGTTCATGTAACTAAAAGCATTGAGAAATAATGAGAATAATAGTTCAAAAGTTTAATTCCTGGAATCTTGTAATTATGCAATAAAATAAAATAGAATACTGCAAGTATTAGATTGCAAAGTATATCTCATATATGTATAATACAATTTCTAGAACATACATATATGGTTTGATGCTGACTAAAAATTTTATGCTCTACAGTCTAGAGAGAGAGAGAGAGAGAGAGAAGGTTTCAAAGAAACTTGAACTTTGAAACCATCATGGGTGAAGAAGCAAAGCTCCTTATAAAGGCTTCGCCTTTTAAATTGGCACTAATTTTAATATTCATATATCTACAAATTTGTCAATATGGATTGGGTGGTTTTGGTTCTCTCATTTTCTTGTAGAGGTAGATCACACAAACATCTTCGTTCTTTTATATATCTCCTCAACACTGAAAAATGTTATTTTGAATTTACAAAGAGAATCCATTTCCAAAAATACAATCATATATAGTCTCCAACCGATCTGAATTTAAGATAGGGCTTATAAAATTGAAAGAGGAAAACCGAAAGAAAAAAGGAGAAACAAATTTACACAAGACGATCACTTGTAATATCACTTTCTAATATCACTTGTATAAAAATAAAATAAAAACATTAAATAAAATGTACACAAGACGATCGATGGGGCAATGGCACTCGAGTATGGATACCTATATATATGCATTAACATGAACCGTAGAATACCTACCAATATAACCTTCCACTCCCTCACCGTTCCTTTTCTTTCCTTTTCCTTTGTTTTCTTTTTCCTTTTTTCAAAGTTTCAATTGGGGCTAGGATTGTGAAAGATTGATAATAGTGTACCACCAATAGGCAAAAAGGCATTTGAGATCATGTAAAAGAGAAGAGAATCATTTTCTGTAAATAATGGGGGCGTGAAAGGGGACCTTTTGGGACTTTTACACTAGATTTCTTGTTTTACATATATAATTTTGCATTGGCACGAGAGCAAAGAGACACTCTCGTTAAGTATTTTTGTCCTCATTGGCACGAACAGACAAGTCTTTCCATTCTCTAGTTATTGTCCGCTTCCCCTCCAATCCCTTCTTCTCTAAAATTCTTTTTGCACAAATCAAATGTATTTTCCACGGTACCCCATTTTTTAAGGGAACTGATTTTCACACTTCTCTGTTCTTCACTTACACTTTATTTTATTTTTAAATATTTTTTAATTAATTTTATTCTTTATCTTTCTTTTTTACCCTTACCCTACATTAATGTTTTTTGATAACTAAAATTAAGAAAAGTTAACATAAAATAAATAAATAAATAACAAAAAAAGAAGTCAGAGCGTCTTCTACTCCTTCGTCTTGTCTTTCCTGCTCCTCCATCACCTCTGACAACGAAACTCAGCCACCATCTCCGATGAACTTGAGTTGTTTTCAGGGAATACCCACAAGAAAATACACAATAATTTAAAATTGAAGGCTTCTTATTCAATTTTCGATGTGTTTGTTTTAAAAAATTAAAGGTTAAACAGGGGGTTCTAACATGAACTGATACGGTAACCATTAATCATGCCTCCTCATTGAAAAAAAAAAAGAGCAAAGTCTTTGCAACAAAACATGCAATCCACAAAACCACTTTTGACAGAATGAAGGAAACCTTTAGGAATTAATTCCCAAACTCAACCGAGACAATCAAATGTTGTCCACATACAAATTTATATTTTTCTCAAAATATTTAGGCAAAAAAAAAAAAGGAGCTCTTATGATACGTGTTCACTGTTCATTGAAGGAGTAGAAGGCGCTCTCACTTCTTTCTTCTTCTTTTTTTGTTTTATGTTTTATTTTATGTTAATTTTTCTTAATTTTAGTTATCAAAACATCAATGTAGGGTAAGAGTAGAATATGAAAGAGAAAGAATAAAAAAGAACAAAATTGATTAAAAAGTATTAAAAAGCAAAAGGGGAGTGGGAAAATGAACTCCCTTTTTTAATCTTCATATTATATACAGATAAAATGTTTTTTTTTAATAATTAAATCAGAGTGTTAGGTTAGGCTTTAATCTTACTTAATTTAACACTCAGATATAATGGAAAAAGAAATTCTTATCCAATGATGAAAAACTAACTACCCCTTAATAAATTTCAGGTTTTCTATAATAAAAAAATTCCATTAATTTTTGAGTTTAGATATAAAGATATAGTTAGAATCATATGCATTGATTGAATTAAGAATCATATATTAAGAATAATTTTTGAATGAAGTTGCTTTACTTTTATCATGGTTTCGGATATATTCCAGTTGGTAGTCATACATCTATCATTTCTTTTCTAAGAGAATGTTTAAGTCTAAAATTTTTCATTAATCCTCAAATGTTCTAAAACAAAAATAATATTACAGTTGAATGAGCTTAGGAAATGGTGGACGGGTGTGTGTTTAAACCTAAATTCTGTACTTTTACGTCCATCCTAAACTATGTCCGGATGAAATCAAATAATTTTTTTTTTAGTACAAGCGATGGTCTAAATTAGAGGGGAGGTTTCTCACACACACAATCAAAATACCATGGGGATTCGAACTTGAGACTTTTGATTTACAAGTCAAAGTCCTTTTTCGTTGGACTAGATCCCGTTAGCATCAAAGTTAAACTTAACATTAACTTCGACATAAGAGAATAATAACTCACATAAGTGCTTTTTTCACAACTTTTTAACCTTTCCAAAATATTCCACTAATTTAGTTGGCATGCATGGTATAGTTGAGTGAACTATCTAGGTATCTTGTTGGGCATCAGATACCTTAAAGCAAAGACAGTTGGCAGCAGAGGCTCATCTTGTGATCACTTTGCCTAAAGATTGAACTAATTGTAGACAAAACAAGTAACAAACAGTCCATATAAATGACCATGAAAATAGAGAAAAAGAGAAAATAAAAGGAAATATATATATATATATATATGAAAAAAAAATAGGGCGAAGTGAAGGAAAAAAACAAAAGAAAACCAGAGGCTATGGAAAGAGATGGTAGTGTATGAACATGGGAGTTGAGAAAGTTACATCAAAATGATAAAGAGATGATGAAGTGGGCATCGATGAGGAAGTGAGCATATAAGCCATTATATGGATATGGGGCTCAAAACCGAAAGGGGAAAATACCATAGGATATTTCAAGGAATATCCTACGTGTTTAGGACTCTATCACGTTTCTGGCCATTCAATTCTTTTCCTCCTTTTTATCTTCCTCTCTCACCCATCCCATGACATCCACGCCACTTGCACTTATTGACATTACAGCCACTTGATACAAAATAATTGGCTTCGATGCGATTGGTGTACAGTACTGATTCTTTCTTCTTATAATTGTCGGTTTCTTTGCAAGAAACTTGTAGCTCAAGTGATTAAGATCATTTATCCTTATACTTGAAGTTCTGTGTTCGACTCCCAGACAATGATAGATTGTGCGCTATGTCCCACCCATCCATTCATTTCACAGAGTTCATTTAATTAGCTTCTAATTTCTTAAAAAGAAGTTAATAACAGTGTTGTGCCGGTTTGCCGACAGGTTTAACTCAATGGAATATTGTATTGGCTTATAAATCAGTGGTATTAGGTTTGAATTTCAATGACGCATTGCCATTGTAAACAAGAAAGAAAATAGGGAGGGATAGTAGAAAATACATGAAGTCCGCATATACAAATATAAATTCTTTTATGCGTACATCCGAACGTTATTATTGTACAAAAATAGAGTCCGCACGATAATAATATCCAAATATTCGCACAGGACTTTACTCAAGACCAATCACAGGATTATTGTTGTTTCCCAGCACTGAAAAGTTCCAATATTCATGACCATATATCACTGGGAATTTAAAGTTTACCATTAAAGAAACAAGAATACAGTGACTAATTTTTTTAATAAAAAAAAATTCAAAGAAAATAATGACTAATTTAATCACAAGAATATCATTAATACCAAAAAGTTGTTATTTGGGCGAAGGATGTAGCCCTCTATAAAGGCCTAATTTAACGTGTCCCCTCTACATACACGTATACATGTCCCAATTCCCCAAGTACATATTATGTAGGATGAAATGGATGGGTGGGACATAGCGCACAATCTCAGCTTTGAAGAAGATTTACAACAAAGTTCATTTAATTAGCTTCTAATTTCTTAAAAAGAAGTTAATAATCGTGTTGTGCCGGTTTGCCGACAGGTTTAACTCAATGGAATATTGTATTGACTTATAAATCAGTGGTATTATGTTTGAATTTCAATGACGCATTGCCATTGTAAACAAGAAAGAAAATAGAGAGGGATAGTAGAAAATACATGAAGTCCGCATATACAAATATAAATTCTCTTATGCGTACATCTGAACGTTATTATTGTACAAAAATAGAATCCGCACGATAATAATATCTAAATATTCGCACAAGAGAAGAACCGAGGGAGACGGATTGGACAGTTTTAGTCCAAACCCATGTTTGACAAAACGGCATATTTATTTAGTTAAAAATAAGATAATATTGTATTTACTACCTAGCAGCATCCATAGTTTGTGTTGTTATTATTTTGTTGTTGCTGTCGACAACAATGGATGTTGTGTTGCATATGCTTGTTTGTTTTGTTGTTTGGCTACAAGTACAACTACATCAACTTTGATTGAAGAAGCCATTTGCACCAGAATTACTGGTACACGTGGAACTTGAAAATAACAACAGTTGACATGTTTGTATAACGATGTAGATTGTTTTTGGTGATTCTGTGGTAGATTGTTTACTAATATCAGTCTGCAAGTGCAAGATATGATCCAAATAATATAACATACTACCTAGCAGCATCCATAGTTTGTGTTGTTATTATTTTGTTGTTGCTGTCGACAACAATGGATGTTGTGTTGCATATGCATGCTTTCTTTTGTTGTTTGGCTACAAGTACAACTACATCAACTTTGATTGAAGAAGCCATTTGCACCAGAATTACTGGTACACGTGGAACTTGAAAATAACAACAGTTGACATGTTTGTATATCGATGTAGATTGTTTTTGGTGTGCCGGCTTCTTTCTGTGGTAGATTGTTTACTAATATCAGTCTGCAAGTGCAACTGTGCAAGATATGATCCAAATAATATATCAAGCTATCTATTTAATTTAATTTCTTGTTTTCTTGTTCATGGTTGCAGGGTCGGGGCTAATGGAAGAGGAGAAGACTTTCTTCACTGCAACTTCTTCATATGATTCGGCTCCGACAGAACACATCAGATTTAATGAGGCTGCTAGCTACCATATCTGAAACATTCATTCATTTCACTTTCAGTGTCGTACGTCAACTGTCAGAGGCTCAAGAACTATAAATTGTGATTGTAATTTCATTTTATTTTTACAGGTAGTGGAATAGCATGGATCACAGGAGGAACCAAACCTGGAACCTGTACAGGAATTTTCCTCTTCAGGTCATGTAAAGTCAGTGATATATAAGAAAAACTTCTGCCGGCAACCCAAACAGTTTCCTCACCTTGTTTCCATCATCATCAACTAGTCCACGATTGGCCGACAAGGAAGGAGCAAGCTTGCTCTCTCAGGGGAGACCCGCCTCTTGGAGTTCAGAAAATTGATCTCAGGCGGCGTAGTGGCATAGTTCGGTGAAAGGGGCCATCCAAATCAAAAAGTTCCACATCTGGCAATGGAAGTTCTTCCATAGCATCAAACGCAGGTATCTCTGCCCCATTTTTTCAAGAGCTGTAAGTGAAGTTATTGGTAAACAGAAATTGATAAAACAAGAAAAAGCCCTCTCCATTTCAATGGGGTTCACTAGTTTGAAGCTTGACAGAGTTTGCTGTTGTTTCAACATTGCTGGTGAATCCCACATAGGGTTATTAGATGCAATAAAATTAGCAACCTAGGAAGTCAAGAAACTTAAAATATGACTTGGTTATTAGATGACATCATAAGCATCTTGCATAACAAGCATTCGACATTGTTGTATTTCTTACAATGGCAAGGGAAAATGCATTACAACTGGTGGCATTCAAATTTAATGAATGTCACTCACTATAGAAAGTTCAACTAAAACTACATAATTATAAAGGACACAAGCTTTTCTACATATTACCATGAAGCAAACCTCAAATCTCACAACTATTTCACTGAAAGAACAAAACTTTATAAGGTTTCCACCTCTCCCAAGGTAGAATGGATACAGGAAATAGAAGTAAAAAGAAACTGAACAAAAGAAACAGAAAGGAATAGCAAGACAAATTTTGTGCAGCAAAGAGCCGTTGCACGAAATCATAGCTGCTGGTCAAGAATAGGGTCTCTAGCAGTTCTTGGAGATCCAATATATTCAGACACACCAGAAACATAATCCTTCAACCAGGAAGTGCTGCGTGTCAACCATCCTGTTTCTTCTCGTTCTTGTACTTGAAGCATGCTCTTCCTTTCTTCTTCCACCAGTATCTCTAACCATCTCTTGGCCATAAAAACCTTGACAGCTTCCACACCTTGTTGAACTACGTCCGGGGGTGGAAGCACAAGAGGGTTCCCGTCCACATTAAGTTTGGTCAAATTGTCCAGGCGGCCAAAAGTATCTGGAAGAGCATGAATCTGATTGTTGCTGAGGTCAAGTTCCTTGAGGTTGGTTAAATCACCGAAAGTGTCGGGCAGCTCTGTGAGATCGGTAAAATTACTGCCGAGATTGAGGATTTGAAGATCGGTCAACCGGCCAAAGGCTAGAGGAAGGCCGCGGAGCTCATTGAAGTGAGCATCCAAGTAGCGCAAGGACCTCAACTCACAGACAGAGGTGGGAAGGGAACGTATTTTGTTTAATTGGATAGAAAGCTTCTGTAGATTGACCAACTCAAAACCAATGTTGGTTGGCAAGTATGTGATGCCGTTGAAGCTCACATCCAACTCCACCAATGACCTAACCACATTTCGCAAAACCAAACTACTAATCATTCCATTTCTCACTCGCAATTACACACACACACACACACAACTCAGTCTTACTTATTGTTATATTCTAATAATTAACGAAAAACTAGATACAAGCTTTACAATTTTTTAGAATTTACCTGCATTGACAGATAGAGTCAGGAAGGGCACTTAGCTTGTTCCCGCAGGCACTCAGGAACTTCAAATTCTGCAACATCCCGATTGAGTCTGGCAGTGTCTCCAGAAGATTCGAAGACAAATTTAGCTCTTCAAGCTTCTCTAATCCAGCTATTGAATCAGGAATTACCTGTTCAAAATGGATTTTTTTTTTTCTTAATTCAATATTAACAAGTCAATTAAATCAAATCAAACCAAAAGAAATGAAATCTAACCTGGAGTTCATTATTGGAAAGATCGAGCATAAGCAAACCGCGAATCCGGCCAAAGGCCTCGGGCAAGAACCGCAACCGCCGACCGGAGAGGTTGACCCTGTCCAGCTCGGTTCCGGAGGCCTCCTGTAGAATCCCCACCACCTCCTCATGGACTTGGTCGCTGGTCAAACCCTCCTCCTCCACCTTGTCATCTTCGACGACGACGCCGGCCTCGGCCGACTCGTAAATCTTGACGAGCCTCTGCTCGGCGTCCTTGAGAAGCTTCTCGTAGGCGGAGTGCAACTCATCCAGCTGCACAATCGCCTTGTAACCTTGCTTCTCCTTCTCCGCCGACTCGCGGCACTCCTGCTCTCTCTCCGCAAGGTGGGCCCGCCACTGGAGTCGGTCGACGTCAGCAGGGCGGGGCGAGAGAACGAGCTCCTCTAGCTTCTTTGCCAAATCGGAATCGACGGCGGCGAGCCTGGCCTTGGAAACGTCGACGGCGTCGTGGTCGGGGCGGTCGCCGAGGGTTTTGAGAACGGAGCGGGTCTGGGAGACGTCAGAGATGGCCCGGGTCATGGCGGCGAGGACCTTGGGGTCGGTCAAGTGAGGCATGTGGTCAACGATCGTGGTTTGAGAGGAGGAGGAGGATGGATCGGTGGAGAATTTGGATGGTAGTTGTGGGTGGGCGTCGATGTGGATGGAATGGAATTCAGAGGCGATGGGGGTGGTGGGTGCGGTGTGCTTGGTCCCCAATGAGGGGAGGCGGTTCATGACGTAGGAGAGGATGGGGAAGTTGGACGGGTTGGGATCCATTTGGGTCGTGTCGGAGGAGGAGAAAGTTGAGTGGATTGATTGAGTTTGAGAAACAGAGAGAGAGATTGATTGATTGAGTTTGTGAAACAGAGAGAAAGAGAGAGTGGTGAGGAGGATGAGAGAGTTGAGAGTTGTGAAGAATGAAAACGGGATGATTAACGTCGTTTCGTTTGTGAAGGTGTGTCCGGTTTTGGATTTGGTTTTTAGAGGGCGTGGATAACGGAATGAATGACGGACTTGACGAGGTCAGGTTTGAATTTGAGAACCTCATCGTGGGGTGGGGAGGAGAGAGTATGAATATAAAATTAGATTACACGTGTCCAAAATGAAAATCTCATCGTGGGGTACGGAGATTGATCTCTAGTGCGATGATACTGACCTGCTGCACGTATCTAATCTAAGTCAATTTCAGTTCATTCACAACACAATTTCAGTTTATGCCAGTTTTCTTTCAAATGTAGCACTGCACGTGGCTTTTGCTCATATCGACTCATGTCCAAGGGCTGATCCACGTTAAGGCTACAGTGGACTCCAGCCCAATTCAGGCTTAGCTTGTATAAACTCAATCCAGGCAAATCAAATACTAGCCCACCCCTATGTAAAGAAGCCACCACAGATACCATCTAGACAGGAGACAGCACAACGTGAGCATCCTTGTTAAAAATTCATACTAATTTAGACCTATCCGAACGAAGCTTCTGTCAAGATGGACCTATCCCGACGAATTCCTTGTCTTGATAGACCTATCCCGACGAGTTTTTCTTACATGATTTGACATTCTTATTATTTTATTTTGAGGCGGATAATGCTTTTCTTCTTACTCATAATTAGGAGGAAACGTGTCTCTCTTGTTAAGATTAATTAAAGTGAAAAATAATGTGGTTGAGTCACATTCGTAGGCAAGGAGGGAATGAGGGAAGCATTATCTTTTTGAGGCTATCTTGAAACTTAACACAGTAAACGGCATAGAGAAAAAATACAATTTAAAAATAATTCATAAAAAAATAAAAATTCATGCGTTGTAGTCTTCAAATTGTGAAGCCAAGCATGGCCACGAGACTGAGAATCGTTGCAAAAGCAACGGCAAGGAGGCCTCTCTCTTTCATGACCACCCGGAACAAGTAGATTGCTACATCAGCGGTGATGAGCTTTCCGCGTCGAACCAAAACCCGACGACGATTCCCAGCAAATGTGAGCAGCACAAGCACTGTGATCCACGCCATCATGGTCGCCCGTGCCGCAATCACAAGCAATGCTAGTACCATCAACGCTCCCAGAACTGGGAGTAAGAGTGCTGTGATGTGGTCGTTGTAGTTGTAGGACAGGAGGAGCCACAGAGATGCCAAGAAAGACAGCAAGAACGTCGTGGTTGCAGCTGCTTGTGTTGAGGACAAAATCATGGCTGAGGCTGAGGCGATGGGGGGAACACGAAGGAAGGATAGATCACCAGGAATGATACAAGGATTTGGGGTAGGTTTTTAATTGTGTTAATTATTTTGGTTGAATTGAAAATAATGAAGGATGTGCGCGCACATGGGTGGGTTGGCAATGGCATGGCAGAGGAACCCACCAACCAACCAAGCTCAATCACATTATAGCGTCCGTTGAGCCAACCAAAGTATAAAAAGTATGGATGTCAAACCAAATACACAAGTACATTAATGGTGTATTTTTCTTTCGGATTAATCATTTTATTAGTCCCTAAATTTAGACCCGATTTGCATTTGAGTCCCTCAATTTTCAAAATCATTCCCGTGGTCCTTTAACTTCACTTTCATTTTAGGACAAATGGTCATACTGTCAATTTTGTTCACTTTTTTTGTTAAATGAAGGGGCAAAATGGTATTTTTATATTAAAACAAAAAAAATGAATAAATAATCATATCATTAATATAACAATAAAATAAAAAACCAACAAAAAAAAAAGTTTGGGGGAGTAGAAATCGGGATAGAGGGGGAGATAGAGAGTTTAATTTTAATTTTTTAGTTTTTTAATTTTTTTTATTTATATTTGAATCAATTTAATACAAAAATATCATTTTGCCCCTGCATTTAATAAAAAAAGTTAACAAAATTGATTGAAAGACCATTTGTCCTAACGAAAGTGCAGTTAAAGGACAACGGGAACGATTTTGGAAATTGAGGGACTCAAATGCCAATCGGGTCTAAGCTCAAGAACTAATAAAATGATTAACCCTTTTCTTTCTATATATGTTTTAGGTGCACAACTTTGCCTTAACAAATTTGTTAACGAAGGGTGAGTCTCTGTTGTACATACACCTTGGTATAAAATGACTTCAAATTGCTAAATAACAAAATGTTTCTAAACATTACTATAAAAATATTCTGTCACATTTTTGAAGTTCATGTTATTTAAAGTTGATATCAATTTGGGGTAAATATATAAATGTGATATGGTGTTTGAGATATTTTATAATTTTAAAATTAGATGTACGAGTGTGTGTCATGAAAGATAATTTTCTAGTATAATTTTTGACTGAGATCTCTTTTAATATTTTTAAAAAAACACTACTATATTAGTAGAATACAGTTTTTATAGGGACTTGTTAAAATAATTTTCTAGTCTTCTTTTTAAATAAAATTCAACTTAGATTCATTCTATATGTTTCAATGCAAGATGCATGATGGGGCTTAAGTTGACCACTCTCTAGTGTTAGGTATTTGTTACTTTCATTCATTATTACTTTCATTATTATGATGGCGGGCCTTGCCACCGGAGAATTAATATATATATATATATATATATAGAGATTCTATATATATAGTTATTCTCTTATCCGGATGTTCGTACGTTATTATCGTGCGGATCCTATTGTAAACAGGCAGGAAAACAGAGAGGGGTAGTACAAAATACACTGCGTCCGCACGATATAAACTTGAATTGTCTCAAGCACAGTAGACATGCATGGTCCACCTAATAATCACCCCTCAAATTGTATAAGGTTTAAATAATTTATAACACAAATTTATACACAAACAAAACTTGCACGCACAAGGGCAAAAATAAAGGCTATATATCAGCTAAGATAAATATATATATATATATATATATATATATATATATATTTGTGTTTCTATACACAAATCTATAGAAAACTTTATCTTATCTAT